CTCAAACTCACAGCAATCCTCCTGCCTCAGCCTCCCAAGTGCTGGGATTACTGGAGTCCAGCTGTATAGCAGTTTTTCAATTTTACATACAACCAAATGCCTTTCTCTTTTCTTATTTTTTTTTTATTTGGGACAGGATCTTGCTATATAGTTCAGGCTGGCTTTGAACTCACAGCAAACCTCCAGCCTCAGCCACCCAAGTGCTGGGATTACAGGTGTACACCACCATAACCAGCCCAAATGCACGTTTTGACGTGTAGTTTTATCATTTTGGGGGGTGTTGAGAAAAGATCTCACTATGTAGTTGAAACTGACCTGGAACTCACTATGTAGCCCAGGCTGGTCTCGAACTCACAGCAATCCTCCTGCCTCAGCCTCCCGAGTGCTGGGATTACAGGTGTATGCCACTATGCCCGGCCTTGTTTTATCATTTTTAAAAACAAATGCCTAGAATTAAAGACTTTATGAACAGAGCCTCATTCACACAGGAACTATAACAAAGAATCAACACTGGGATTCTATTTTGTTAAAAAGCTTTTGCACAGCAAAAGAAACCACCAACAGAGCAAAGAGACAGCCCACAGTGTGGGGAAAATTTTTTACAAGCTGTTCCTCAGACACAAAGGACTACTATTGAGAATATATAAAGAACTCATAAAAAGCAGACCCAATCCAAAAGTGGGTGTCTGAAATGAACAGGCACATCTCAGATGAAGAATTAGAAACAGCAAATAAGTGCCATGAGCCTCATAGGATAGGATCCGAAGTCAGTGAGAGCGGGGGCAGATGAAGAATTAGAAAATAACAAGAAAGAAAGATGCCTGCCAAGATTAAGCATTATAGCTGGGACCAGGTGAGACCATAGCCTGATGAGTTAATGGCCTCCTGGAGTCCAGTGTGCTCTTTATTTACAGTGTAGGAAGGCAGGGTAACTCGTGCCACATAGCCTAGGCTGAACCCGATTATCTCGTGATGGGGCATGCACAGAAAAGGAACAAGGATACATAATGTAACTGTCTCCTGGGGCTGTGCCATCCAGGATCTACACTGTTTGACCGTCTAATCTATGGTGGAGAACAGGGGTAGGGATGAAGCAAAAGGCCATCTTCAGGCTCGGCCCTTGGCAAATAAATATATGAAAAACATGTTCAACATCAACGGTCTCTTGAGAGATACCAATTAAAACAATGCCACCTCACCCCAGAAAGAATGGCTGCTATGAAGAAATCATCCAATAACAAATGCTGGCAGGGCTGTTGGAGAAAAGGAGCCCTGCTCCACTGTTGGTGGGAGTGCAGACTGGTGCATCCTCTGTGGAAATCAGTGTGGAGAGTCCTCAAAGAACTAGAACTGGAGTTTCCATTTGATCCAGCTGTCCCCCTTCTTGGTATCTTCCCAAAATAACTAAAAGCATCACAACACAGGGATATACACACACCCGTTATTTCATAAAAGTGTGACACTGTATCTCTTCATATTTTCCTGGTGAATTTGTTTAATCTTTTCACTGGGAATGTCAATTATACTGGAGTTTACCTATGAACTCTCCTTTCCTGTTAGCTTCTTTGCTAGAATAATTTTACAGAGTTTTTCCTTCTAATTTTGTTTTGGCTTAGAAATGGGCATCTTACTTGATTCTAACTCATGAGCCATTGGGAAGGATTTGTAGGGAAGGGCATTGGTCAGGGTCCTAAAAGGAAGTAGATGGTCCATTCAAACTTGAAAACAGGACTATCAACAAGCGGAGGGGAGATTTAGAAAAATAAGGAGCAGGCTAGCAATAGAAGGATAGCATCACACCTAGCCTGAACCGAGAAAGGGGGCTATATGGAGAAAGAGGCCAGCAGGAACTCTCCTCTTTAAATTTGTTTGTTTGAGACAGGGTTTCACTATGTAGTTGAGATTGACCTGGAACTCACTATGTAGCCCAGGCTGGTCTCGAACTCACAGCGATCCTCCTGCCTCAGCCTCCCGAGTGCTGGGATTACAGGTGTGCACCACCATGCCCGACCAGGAACTGTACTCTTTCACAGAGGAATAACACCAGTCCCCCCAGCATGTAGGAACTAGGATGGTTAAATACTTCAACCTTCCTCTTGTCTTCAAAGTGTTTTGCTAATATTGGCCATTTTACCTGGAAGTAAGTAGGTAGAGGGGGTCCATTGATGCCATTTATAGATCATTGTCCTAGGGCATAAAGCAAGGCACAGAAAGATAGTGAGTCCTAAACACCCAAGCCAAGATCAGCAGAATTGCTTACCTAGCTCACAGTTAATCACAATTCTTTAGCTGAAATTATCTAATACCAGAAGAATGCCTCTGCTGATTCATGGGCTTGTGTGCACTAATAAATATGTACTATTTTAAGTTGCTATGTTTGGGGTTTGTTACAAAGCAATAGCTAACTAATGCAAGACTTCAAGGACTAATAAATCTGACAGGTTCAATGCCACAATGATCGGCACAAATGACTGTAGGAATAATATGGAAAATAATAGGAATAATATGGAAAATTTATCTTCAAGCAGTAGTCTGTCAGCAACACAGGATGGAGAGCTGGCTTATGAGAATTTAGAGATAGCTCCGACTGAAAATGCTCAGCAGTTCTCAGCTTTGCTTGGTAGAAACCACAGCTAACTAGCCTTGATAAGCCATAGTTGCAAGGCTGCATCCCTATGCCTTTTTCCCAATGCTGTGACGCTAAAACCTTAAGCATGAAACACACACCTGAGAACCACTGGGGACACACTTAAGATGGGTGGGAAATCATAATTCAGTGGTGGAATAGTGAGTGAATGAGGAGGTTACCAACTGGACCCAAACTGTAGCACTATGTAGACTTCCTGGAGGCAGAGGGCACTAATATTCGCAGGCATAGCGGTGCTCCAGGAACAAACGTAAACACAATAGTCCAAGAGAAACTTTGTAGTCAGAAGCAGGAGATGCTCCAGTGTTACTGCAGTGTTACCCAAAAGGAAAAGGTAGGAAAGGATTCAGTAGAGGCTACACGAGAAAACACTTGGGGAAATCTAGATACGGGTCTTTTCTAGACGGATTTCTCTAGTCCTTTGAGAATTGCCACAGTGACAGCATTAGTAGAAGAGGAAAATAGGGAAATTGGGAAAACAGCAGGGACATCCAGGATGAAGAAGAAATGTTGACTGAGTTAGTGTTCTGTTGGGTAGGGTAAGACAGCCAGGGACAGACTTTGGGAGTCCCTGATCTGTAAGTGTAGTGAGTGTTGCCCATGTAGGGACCAACGCGCCTGGTTCACTTAAATTCCTCAAACCTCTAAACCACACTGGCAGCAATGCCTACCTGGAGCTTTGTAAATGGTGACCACCTGCCCCTTGGGTTCCCGTTAATGGTTTGCACCAGAGTCCTTAACATCTCCAGTAGCCTTAGTTAAGAATAATGGAGGAGGTAGCAGCAGTGGCAACAGCACCACTTTTGAATCTCCAGAAGTCTGAACTTAAAAACAGAGCAACTAAACAATATATCCAAAATCATATGGCCAAAGCTTATAGCAGAACTGGGCAATGAAGTATATAATGCCTCAAATATAAGCCGGTAAGAACAAAATACCAACAAACCCCAAACACAGCAGGGAATCGGCACCTCAGAAGCAGTGGACAGAGAGCATATGTTCACCAGGAAGGAGGACAGGTCAGTGAAGAGCGGTGGAAAGCTAGAGGCATTTTCCCACTTCAATAGTGGTTAAGTTAGGCGTCCACCATAAGGAGGAAGAAGAGTACATGGTAAGACAACAACACTAAAGTATAGTATAGCACATAGTTATGTACAAAATACAGACGTAGATATGGATGGAGGGGAGAGGCTGGGGCATCTAGTTGCTGTGAGCCCTCAGAGCCCTGGGACAATGGTAAGAATCTCTGCTCCTGTTGCTAACGGAAGGATGGCCCTGGGGTGGCTCCTCGGTCTCTCTCCTACCAAAGGATAAAACTTCACAGGGTGTTCTTTCCATCCAGCTGCCTCCCCATAAAAATGCTCTTGGGACATGGACTACATCTTTGGCTGCTTGAAGCCTCCAACAAGTTTCCACTTTTCTGTCTGTCCCCCTGTCTGTGAAACAGGAATGATTTTAGTGAGCACCGTCCTGCTCATCTCAAGAGACTACGAAGTTGGTCAAAAGCCAGCAGGGGTGTGGAAATAAGGAGGTCATGAGAGGTTTTCGTGCTGTGATGAATTCAGGCAGGAGTTCTACTTGGAGCTGCTGTGGGATTCTAGGCAAATCCAAGTAGCCTCAGTTTTTCTCAACCGTAGAACGGTAATAATATTTGCGTTCTTCAGTGCAGAGTTGAAATGCAATGAACTGATATAGGCACAGTGCTTAGCACACTGCCTAACACATGGTGGAGGGGGCTCCCACTAAACGTCCACAGTCATGTCAGGGTGATACCTGTGTTAACCAAAGCTCTGTTGTGATTGCCATTCTTCTATGCTTTTCCCTTTCGGAAACAGCAGAGGGCGACATAGACGGCGGGACCTCTGTCGCAGCAGCCACCCACCCCCGACGCATCACCACCATTGTCAGCCACGCAATGGCGCTAAGTCACGACTGTCAGGTTTTCCGCAGACTTTGGGGAACAGAGGAGCTGACTTGAGAGACGAGGGTGAAAGGGTGCCCTGAGTGCCAAGAAGTCCTGAACCATAGGATGGGGGATTCCTGGGCCGAGTAACTTTCGGGTTCTTTGGACAAGGTAAGGAGGGCTGGAAATGAATGGGGCCCTGGGCCCTTATGAAAACGAGGGTACTCCTTGCTCCTAGCAGTGTTTGCATCCCTTCCCCCGGGCAGCCGCCCAAAGGGGAGAGGGAGGGAGTGCACATCTCTGCTAGCTGCAGCCCATTCATCTGCTGCCGAGGCACGGTGTTGCCATGGAGACGTGATGCAAGGGGGGGGCGAGGAGGGAGGCCCCGAGTGACGTCAGCGCTCGCTCTTTGCAGCTAGTCTCCCTCTGCCTCCTGGTTCTTGCCTATTTTGGAAGAGAGCCGCAGCCCTTCTGCTGATGCGTGCGCGCTGCCGCCTTTTTAAGGCAACTGGCGGAGTGGCGGCTCCTCCAGAGCCCAGGAGCTGTCTCCGCCCCCCAGCCGTGAGCCTGGTGCGGGGTTTGGGGTATAGGGTCTTGGCCCTGGAAATCTCCCGGCGCCATCCACCCCATCCCACCTCTATCTGAACGCCCTCCACCACTATGGGGACGTTTGAGCCGTGGAGAGAGGAGGTCCTGCCCTTGACCCTCACCACCACTCACCTCCTACCCCCAACAGGGGAGACTCTTTTGTAGGAACCTTGGAAGGAAACACGACGCCGGGTCTAGCGCTTGGGGATCCTCTGGACAAGGCCACAGAGGGACAAAGCCAGGTGAGGACCTCACCGCCCTCAGGGCCTCCTCCCTCAAGCAGCGGATTTAACTTTTTTCTCCCTGCACTCGGTCTGGAGCCAGATTAAGGTCTCAGGCTCATTCATTTGAAAAGGAAACTGAGGCTCAGAGATTGGCCAGGGTCAAGTAGCCAGTTCCTAGAAGAGCAGAGCCCAGAGAGCTTCTTGGCCAGAAGTCAGTCTCCTGTTCCTTGTTGCTGAGGTAGCTGGTACAGTGCGTCTACCTCTGGCCCCTGCCCAGCACCCAGGCAAGAGGCCAGACAGCTCGGCTCTGAACCAGCTGTTTCTTCTGCAGCACATTCCAGACCTAGATGGGCTTTCTGGATCAATGGTCACTCTAGACAAGCGTCTGGATCCCATGGACTCCACCACCACCAACCATGTTGCATCTTACAAACACTGACTTTTATCAAAGTCTTCCTGCACCCCTAAGCTCTCTGGAACTTCCTGAAATCAAACCTTTCCAGGCTGCCTACAAGTGTCAGTTGGCTTCTGGATGAACATGTGGCTGCTGGGCTCTGGCAGGCCCCCCATAGCAAATTGGACTCCAACCTTGGACATCCTGCCCTGATGCCCCCTGCACTCCCCTGCAGCACCCACCCACGGAGAACCATGGAGACCAGCACACAGTGTTTGACCATTTCTAAGGAGCAGGGCAGTTCCCGATATCTCTGAGCACCCATTCTGGACTGGCCTGGGGGCCCAGAACTGGACCTCATCAAGACCAGCACTTGTGCTCCAGACCAGCTCCAGGTCTAGCAAAGGAGAGAGGTTTGTATTCTGGAGAAATTAGTCCTGAGCTCTGAATGGCGCTTCCAGGGAACGTGTTTTGCCAAAGCCAAGACATCAATGCACAGGACAGGGAACTGAGACAGTCTTCAAGGAGACGTAATTTGCTAAGGTAACATGGCAAGTCAGTGTGTTTGTTGCTGAGATGAGTACCCAGAACCTTGCCTCCTGGCCCCAGGCTCTTTGCACCTTCACACCAGAGGCCAACCTTTACACCAGATCCCTGTGTTGTGAGCCAAGGATCTGGCTTGTGATCCAGCCCCCACCCCACCCCCGCCATGTGACTGTCTCTTGAATTGTTTCATTCTCTGCCCTAGGCCTCAATCACCTAAGACCAATGACTAAATAGCCCCTGCTCCATTTGTGAGTCTGGGACTCTCCGAAATGTGGGTGTTGGGCCAGGCTGTGGGGTCACTCTGCGGCCAGCTGTGGGACACTGCTGTGGGGTTTTCTCCCTCCCACCAGACTGTGTGGATCACTCTAAGGATTACTTGGGGGTCTGTTTTGTGCACATTGGACCCCACTGGACCCCTTCAATGGTAAGTCTCTCCCCTGTGAACTTGGTATTGGCCTTTAAGAAGGACCCCAGATGGGATGTGTCCAAGGAGGGAAAATACAGGTCACTGTCATTACTTTCTTCCCCAGGTCTACACAGGTCTAGTCTCCAGGGTGCAAGGTGACTCTGCTCAACCAGGGGTGAGAACTTAGTCCTCTAGGAGACTTCTGGCCCATTCCAACCTTAGCACAGGGAGCATGGCTGCATCTCCACTTGAAATTGAATCTCAGGGTTTGCAGCATTCACTTTCCAAAGCCTGAGAAGCTCTGGGCCAGGTGGGGCCCAGGCCCAGAGATTCTTGGAGCACCAAAAGTGGGAGTACAGTCCTTTAAGGCCAAGTGAACCAACCCTCTTTCATTTTGCAAACAGAGAAACAGAGGCCCAGAAAACCAATGGCACTTGCATGACCCCCAGTGGGCTGATGGCAAAATAAGGACCCAGCCCTCCTGTCCAGGACTCTTCCACTGTATCCAACACACAGTCGGCTGACATCTAGACTGGACTCACTTCCTCTTTTTCTCAGACCTGTGAAATCCTTGTAGAGAACTCCTCAGCCTATCCTCTGTTGGGCTGGGTAATTCAGGAGCTTTCCCTCCCATCAAGTGGTCCTCTTCTATGAAGCTTCCTGGGTCCTCTCCCTGATTATTCAGTGCTTTCGGCTTCCAGAAGCTGCTACATCAATGAACCAGAAACGCTGCTCCCCACTTCTTGCCATGATTCAGCCAACTCTGTGCAATTCTGGCCTTCACAGGTATGGGGTCCTCATTGTCCCTGCTCATGGGGTCTCTTCTTTATTTCTCCTAGGGTTTTCCTTTTGAAACCCTTCCTGGGGTCCCATGGATGCTGATGCCCTCTCTGCTGGCCCAGGCCAAAGGGATAATTAGCCCTCATGTCAGAGGGCTTCTGGGAGGTTGCCCTAGTTCTACTAGGCTGATACCCATGCTAGGCACATAAGGTGCAGGGACACGATGCCTCTGTACACTTTTATGTCACCAGGGCCAGGCATTTAGCTCAGTGGCACCACACCTGTCTCTCAAATGCAAGGTCCTGAGTTTGAACCCTGGTTCCAAAAATAAAGTTAATATAAGCTTTTATGTCCCCAGGTACACTCAGATAATATCACAAGTGGACCTGAAGCTAGAGCTTGTGGTGGCTTGGGCACCTGTGAGTAGAAGGGGAAGTGGCAGTAGGAAATAGGGGTCATGATGGCTTTAAGTGGAGGGAGAACGTAGTCAGGTTGAGGTCTAGAAAATGAGCCAGAGAGAACAGTTGCTGAGCCTGAAAGGTGCACTGTGAACTCAGGCTCTCCATCCCTGGACTTGGGGAGCAGTGTGAGGTGCCACTGATGCCCAGGAAGGGGAACTCTGGTACCTGGGCCAAAGCCAAGTGCATCTTTTGTATGCATCCCTTGACTTCTCCAGGACTCCATTGTCCTTCTCCTTGGAGTCGCTGCAGCTCCCAGCCTGGTTTACTCCTTCTGATGCTCTCAGACCAAGCCCAGGACAATGCTGTAGAAAGCTGACTGGACCCAGGCCCTGTTTCTATTACCAGTCAAACCCATGCCCATGTCTGCATAAACCTTGCTCAAAATTTTTCATAAAGTTAATAATGACTTATATTGTATCACTTGTTGTATTCCCTTTATCCATCAAGCTTTGTTCTGTTTTGAACATTTAGGCCAGTTCTTGCATTAAGCCCTCGATCTTAGTGCTATAATCCTCCTCACATCTCTAACATATGGGTAAACTGAGGCACAAGAGTCAGTTCTCAGCTCAGAGCCTGTCTCAGGCATTCACCCCCTCTTGCCTCACCCTCTGTCAGCCCCTCCACCCACGCTGTATCTCTCCACTGCCTCTCCAAGGCCTTTTGAATATCTGAATATACCCAAACATCCCCGCCTTTAGGCCTTCTCTTCTCTTAAGTGAAATAACTTCATTCCTCCACCTTTTAAGTTTTTCTTACAAATATTTATGGGAGGCCTTGTTCCACGCTGATGAGTTGGTGGTGAGCAAAGCAGACCATTCCCCAGGGAAGTGGCTGCAGTCCAGAGACACAGAGCTGGTGATCAGCCCAGCATCAAAATAAATGGCAAAATTGCCACTGTGACAATTCTAATAGAGTTGCAAGGTGCTTGGGATCCTCTAACTAGGGTTTATGTAATTGAGATCAGGGAGAAGATGATGCTTGAACTGCACTGTAGAGTAGGGGTGAATGAAATGAACTTCAACAGGGGAGGAGCAGTGGTATCCTAGAAGAGAGCAGAGAGGGTGGAAAGGCATTATGAGGGCAGGAGAGTGGCAGGGCCGGGACTGATGGACGCCTCCTCCAGCTGGAAGAGAGAAAGGTCACGAGAGTCTATACTGGCTGCAGTCCATTCTCCACCAGAGCCAGGCTGGGTGGAAGTCTGGATTGCTCCTCACTGCTCCTGGCCACACCTCTGATCAAGACTGGGCCTGGGCTACATCATCTCAGTGCTACTCCAGCACAACTTCTGAAGCCAAACCTGGTCCCAAGCAGCCTGCGCAGTGCTGCCCTCTCTCTGCCTGCCCACCACGTACCTGTTAACACAGCTTTGGCTTCTTTGTGGCTGCAGGTCACTGTAGCATCTTGTCCCTGAGGCCTCACTCCCCCAGTCCACCTCAGCACTTTCTCACCAGTTTAGAGGCTCCACACAGTCAGGGCCAGTGTCCTGTGTTTCACCTCATGATGTCACCCCAGAGCGCCCCAACTCAGCCCTCAGGTGTCTGTGGCACGCAGGACTTCCACACCGGAAGCCCTGCTCCACGCCAGGTACTGTGCCAGATGCCAGAACTGTGGAAAGCAGTCCTGGATGCCAGCTGGGGACAGAGAAGTGAACAAGTGGTGGTGCGGCAGGATGAGATGTGCAGGGAGGAGAATGCACTGGGACCAGTGGGTGCCAAGAAAGGGTGCCAGTCCCTGCTGGAGGACCAGCGGGGCAAAGAGGAGCTCGCCAGCTGGGGAGGACCCTGGAAATGAACATGTAAAATCTGTCTACTCCTCCAGACCTCCCAGCCCATGTTCTCCACTCCTGTCTCCCCGTGGCTGTCAGGGTGTGAGGTCCCTGCCCAGTATTCAGAAAGCATTTTGGTGGATTTATTTTCCTTCCTTCTTCAAAACAAGGCTGCTCTAACATGCTCCCTGTGTCTCATCCCTGTGTCCTTCTCTCTCAGTGCTGCATTCAGACCTGGCCCAGAAGACCTTCATCTTTTCCTACCCAGGCTCCATCCCCCAGCATGGCCCTGTGTCCCTCTCCGTCCCTGTTTGGCCCACTCCCCTGTTCTGGCCATCTCAGTGTGTGGGTGCCACCGCGTACTCTCTTCACATGAGATTTGTTGATTTCATAACCACAAATAGATAAAATATTCTGAATGTTTTCATGTGCAAGTAGCATTGAAGAAATGATTGCATAATCAAAAGGCCTCAGGAGAAAGAAAACAGCCTGCAGAGATGCAGCTGAGCGCATCACAGTCATGGCACAAGCCAGCTCTACATGAGTCTGTGTTGTCACTGAAGAGACTGGGCATCACAGACACCAGACTACAGAGGGTACTGGAGAATATGTTCGGAAACCCTTACGTGGTTTCTAATTCAATTCAAAAGAACAATCAAATAATAATAATAATCTGGTTTTAAAAAAAAGAAGTTGAAGTCAGGAAATATGGATCCTAATTCTGGATTTATCTCCTGCTAGCTCTGTGACATTGGGAAGTCACTCAAACTGTCTGAGAAATATATAGATATTCTTCTCCTGGAAGGTTCAGGAGGCCTGAGGTGCCATGATACCCTCATTTTCTTCCACTAAGGAAAATTCGTCTCCCTGACAGTAACTTATCATCACCTTGGGACAATCCCTCTTCCCAAGATGTAGTCCTGAGAGCTGGGCTCATGATAGGGATGGAATGGTTGTGCCTTGCCAGGTCCAACTCATGTTGCCATGGGAACAGGATGTGGAGCATTATTTCTGCTCCACAGAAAATTGTACAGGTGTAACACAACTACAAAGTGGGCTGGAAGACAGTAAGTCTCCCCAGTCTCTCCTCCATTAAGGAATACTTAAGGAATACTACTGCTCCATGGCATTTGGAAAAGCAAAGGGAGATGAAATGACAAGTTAGAGTGCCCTGGACTGAGAGAGAGAAAGAGTGGATATATTTTGCAAAGAGCTTGTCCTCTATTGATGGCAAACTTTTTCTGTAAAGGACTGAGTAGTAAATATTTTGAGTTTTATGGGCCATCTGGTCTCTGTCATCACCACTCAACTCTGCCACTATAGTGTGAAAAGACAGTAAGTAAACTAATGGATGTGGATGTGTTTCAATAAAACTTTATTTACGAAAGGAGGTAGTGGTCCAGATTGGCCTGTGGGTCATAGTGTATATGTCCCTGATCTACTGTGTGATGCAAGACAATAAACCTGGGTTGGGAAACAGGAGTTAGGCTTAAAGTAAAGCACTGCCAGTATCTTATTGTGTGACTCTAAGTTATTGTCTATCTCTTATTCTTAGTTTCCCTTTCATGTAAGCATACATATTGATCACGAGAATATGTTTAACCTGTCAGAGCAAATCTGAACTCTCTTTATCCATTTTCTCCATCACTTTAAATGGAGCTGCACCTGCTGTCCACCCTACCCTGGCCAGACCAGGCCTTTGACGGCTGAGGGTAGTTGGCACCCTGCCAGGAGGGGAAGGTGTCTCACCAGAATCAGACTTTGATCTGTCTTTCCAATCTTCAGCCCCAAGTGACCCCATTTCTGTAGCAAGCCAAGCACAGGAAGAAATGAAGAATCGCTTTTTCCACCATCCAGTCATTTGGCAGGAGGCTACAGTTCATCTGAAGGAGTAATGTGGCTGCAGTAGCTGTTAGCCAGGATTTGGAGGAGGCCATAGAGACTCAGGCTGGGACTAGAATCAGGACAGATGAGCTTCCATGCTCCCTTATAACATGCATCTATTGGACCCAAGTTAAGGTGTTACAGTACAGCTGCAGTCCAGTGATCACCTGCAGCACTTCCAGTTGCATTGTGGAGCCTAAATTATCTCATCCACCCGCCTGGTCTGATGACCACTGAGTGCTTGTAGCCTTAGGCATTATTTTGTCTCTGAAGTTCCTTCAAGTGATCCTCTGTCTCTCTTTCTCCCCCACCTTTTATCACTTCTCTTTCTGATATGTTGACAGCCCTCTGTCAAGATCCTTGCCCCAAATTTTCAGAAAAGCAGCCAGGAGTTTCTATGCTGTTCTGCAGAACCAGATTTTCCATCCACCCTCCACTGTCTTCCCAGGAGGTCATCCTCTTGGAACTCTATGGAAAGATACACCACCTCCTCTTTAATAGAGGTTCAGGAGTGATAGTCCCTGTAGGTCCCCCAATACATCTATGGAAGAGAGGAGCAAGGGATCTCATGGTCTGCTCTTGCAGTAAAAAAGCCTTTTTCGGAAAAAAGTAATAAAGGAACCAGCCAATCCCTCCTCGATGCCATCACCTCTTCTTGGTGATTTTTTTGGGGGAAGGAGTGGGTGGGTTGCCATGGCAACAGATGCGAGCTCTGCTCAGTAAAGAAGGGGCCTTGATATTTTTCTCTCTCTCATTCTCTCAGTTGTGTGTGTGTGTATGTGTGTGAGTTTGTGTATGTGTGTGCTACACATGCCGGTGCCCACACCCGGAATTTTTTTTAGAACTAAAGAAAGACCTTGTCTTCTCTCAGCTCCCCAAATATGGAATGATGGAAAACCACTTACCCCTCCAAGCCAGAGAAGAATTGGGATGGTTCTAGAGAAAGGGGAATACTCATGTGGGGGCTGTTCCTCTATGATTTTGCTAGAGATTGCATGAAATCAAGAGACCTTTGCAAATGTTTGGGATCTAAGGATTGGAAAGAGGGGAAGATTCTGGGTAGAGAGAGGTAAGTAAAGCGTAGACAGTGCACGGACTCAGCTTGTGATGACAGAGAGGGCAGCAGAAGGGACATTGAGTCTGGGGAAGCATACAGATCTGTGTACACCATTAGGAGCTGAGAGGGAAAGGTGCAGAGCACATTTAGCACACACAAACACATGCACATAAAGTGGTAAACATAAATATATAGGGGACAAACATGGAACTACATATAACACAGGAAGGTGGAGACTTTGCAGGTATAGGCAAAGAGAGGAAGAGGGATACAGATACACAGCTATAGAGACACTTGCAGACAGATACATGGAAAGAAACACAAATGCATTCAGACAGGATCAGATGCAGAAACAGCAATATACAAAGAGCCTCAGTTAAGTGAACACACAAACACACACGTGTTCATGCAGTCACAGACTCCCTCTCTTAAACTGCTCAAACATCCTTGAGAAGCAGTGCATTGCTGGGAATGCTGCATGCTCAGTCAGCAGATTTTGTGGGGAGGCTTCTGCTCCCCCAATACTTTTCACATACTCGCCCCAAAGACCCTTTCCCAATTCCTTCCTTTGCCCACTTTCCCATAGCCAAAGGACTAGGTTGCCTCCCCTATCTCAGGCTTCAAATTCCTAGCCTGCTCTGCTGCTTCTGCTGCTGCCGCCGCTTGTGGGGGAGAGTGGGTGACTCAGCCAGGCCAGGATGACTCACACTGCCAGTATTTTTAGCAGCGGCCAGGAGCTCTCTAGTGTGCCTGCCGCCCCCCTCCTCCTGCTTGCTATTTCAGAACCATCACTGGTGATATAAATAGCTCCTCTCCCACGGCCTGAAGCTGCTGCCAAACTATTTTTGGTTCTGCACAGTTAAAAATAGTTTCACGGAGGTGGGAGGCAAGAGGAGTGGAGGCTGGCCTAGGGAGAGGAGACATTAGGGGCATACAGAGATTCTCAACTTGAATCAGAGTGGGCAAACTAAGATGCGACCTTATCTACCCCCTCCTTTGTCCCTTTCTAGACCCTTCTAGCCTTCAAAAATGCTTTCTCCCAAGTCCATTCTCCTGGAAAAATCCAGGGACTCTTTCCTTGAGCCCACTTCTCTTCTCTTCTTATTAACTCCTAGAGCTCAGAAATCTTGGCCCCCGGAACCCCGTATTTATCCTCAGCGAGGAGGGGGACAAATAAAGGGGGCTCCACCGTGAGGCCCGTGTGGACCTCAGCCTGACTTTGGTTCCAGGCAGACTGTAGCCAATCTGACGGAAGGGCTATTGTTTCAGCACCACGGACAGCGACAAGCCTCCACTCTGGATCAGCGGGCTGGCTACAGACTAGCTAGACCAAGCCGATAGACCCCTTTATTGTGTCAGGGATAACAAAAATGTTTCCCACACAGGATCTGAAGTATCTATGGGAAACTTGCCCTGGATTTTCATATGGGAAAGTGGTCCAAAGATAAAAAGAATGGAAACAACACACCAGAGACATCCTGAAGCAGCTGTCCTTCAAGTTGATAGAGTTGGAGATAGCAACACATACACACAACCCTTCCTTCTCAGTTGTGCCACTGACTACAAGGTGGTTTATGTAGATGGCTCCAGACAGATGGCTTCCAAAAATCATCAGGTTAGGGCCTTCAGATCCATGTTCTCCTCTTCTAAGACGCCTTTCAATAGCCTTTGCTCCTATATTGCCTCTCTTGCTACCATTTTTGCCTTGAAGATTTGGGAATTCTTGGACCCTCAGCTTTTCGTATTGGTGTCAAAGTTCATCTCCACTCTTTCCTTTTGACTTTTGACAGGCTGTCCCTCAATTTTAAGTGGCCTCATTTGCAGCCCCCACAGTTGATCTCACAACCCTTCCTCTCCCATAATTCATGTAAACATTTCCCTCTACCACTGCCTTCTCACCTTAAGGGATTCTAAGGCAAGAGGGGCACAGCCTGTGCCCCTTTAGAAAGCAGTTATGTTGTTTGTAGGGAATAAAGAAGATGGAGGCGAGGAAAAGGCCACAGGATGCAGGAGCAAACCTGAAAAAGACAAAAAGGAAGACAGGCGCGATCAAACAGAAGGGGAATCTTTGAGGGTCAGGTGGTGCACAAAGCCGAGATAGTGAGATGAACTAATGAGGTGGGGAGGTGAGGATGGAGAGACTGAATGAGGGGTCTTAGTACCAAAGATGCGGAGAGGGTTGGAGGCAGATGTGCAGGACAGCCTGGCAGAGTTACAAGGTCCCGAGGAGGTGCAGCAGTCACGGAGCGCCCGGCACGGACCACCCACCCCCTTTCTGCTGCCTCCCCCTCTTCCTCGCCGAAGCAAGGGGGAAACTCTCCGGAGCGGTGCGGAGGCAGCCAGGCCC